TAGGTCTTATAATCGCACGATTGAGAATATAAGCACTAGTACTCACTGCATCCGCCCAAAAGTACTTAGGTATGTTAGCCTCACTAAGCATAGTTCTCGCCATCTCTTTGAGAGATCGGTTTTTCCGCTCAACAACGCCATTCTGTTGAGGCGTTCTTGGGGCTGAGAAGTTATGTGCAATGCCTACTTCATCGCAGTAGGTATCAAACCCACTTTGATCAAACTCTCCTCCATGATCACTTCTTACGGCCACAATGCTACAACCTTTTTCATTTTGAACCTTTTTAGTGAATTTGTGAAAAGATGAAGGTGCATTACTCTTGTGAGAAAGAAATAAGGTCCATGTATAACGAGAGTAGTCATCAACAATAACCAAGGCATAGTAATTACCACCTAAACTCATACTTCGAGAAGGTCCAAAGAGATCAATGTGCAAAAGCTGCAATGGTCTAGAAGTAGAAACAACTTTCTTTGATTTGAAAGAGGTTTTTACTTGTTTACCCTTTTGACATGAATCACAAATTCCCTTTTCAAATTTGAGTTTAGGAACACCAATTACTAGGTCTTTTGAAACTAATTTATTAATCAGTTCCATATTGGTGTGACCAATTCTTTTATGCCATAGCCACATCTCTTCCCCTTTAGTAATGAGGCAATGAGCAAAGTCCGTTGGAGTAATTTCAAGGTTGATCATGTAAATATTATCTATGCGATCGCCGGTAAGGATAATCTTGTTATCACAAAGGCGTTCGACCATGCAATGGTTAGAAGTAAAAATAACACGGTTACCTTTATCACACAATTGACTAATGCTAAGCAAATTATGCTTGAGGCCTTCGACCAACAACACATTTTCAGTTCCGTAAGCTTTGTTTTTGCCAACAGTTCCGGTTCCAATGATTTTTCCTTTGTTGTTGTCGCCAAATATGACATTTCCACCATCAATTGATTTTAGAAAAACAAATTTGGATGCATCTCCGGTCATGTGCTTGGAGCATCCGCTATCAAGGTACCATAGTACATTTGATGCCTTCAAGCACGCCTGCATAATTATTGAATTAGGGGTTTTAGGTACCCAAATCTTTTTGGGTCCTTGAGAGTTAGTATGAACATCATAAATATCAATGTGTGCCCTCTTCCTATCCTTAGCAATCAATCTAAGCTTTCTAAAACATACAGGAGCTATGTGTCCAACGTGATCACAGAAATGACAAACAACTCTAGGATCATACATATATCTATATGGACTAGAGTGTCTCCTATGTGTCCTAAAGTTGCTAGGTTGTCTAGGTGCATTCCTTACATTCCTAAAATTGCTAGGTTGTCTATTTCTAGGA